AGGGGGGGCAGTTGGGGGCAAGCAGGCCGGCAGTGGGGGGCAATTGGGGGCGAGCAGGCCGGCTGGGGTGGGGGCAGTGGGGGCAAGCAGGCCAGCAGGGGGGGCAGTTGGGGGCCAGCAGGCAGAGTGGTTAGGGGTGATCAGGCAGGCAGGCAGGTGAGCAGTTAGGAGCCAGCGGTCCCAGATTGCGAGAGGAATCCCCACTGGGATCGGGCCTAAACTAGCAGTCAGACATCCCCCGAGGGGTCCCCAATTGGAGAGGGTGCAGGCCGGGCTGAGGGACGCCCTCCTTCCCCCCGCCCCCTTCCTGTGCACGAATTTTGTGCACCGGGCCACTAGTGTTTAATAACAGGATTTATTCTTCTCATACCAACACATTATTTTCTGGCAAGAAAATGAATTTCTTATATTTTTCTAATGTTTTACTCTTATTATGTACTTACTATAAACTCTAAGAATAAGTCTGTGTTTTATTTATTATCTAGTTCAGTGCCTTGTACTTAGTGGGCACAATTATTTCTTGAATACATTGAAATTATATTTTCACATAAAGCTTTGCCCCACCCCCTCTCCATGTTGTCTCAGCTAGAACCACCATGGCTTCTTTTAGGTCCATCCATATAGATGAGGTAGGAGTAAAGTCAGTATCATCCAGGAAATGTGTGGGTGAGTAAGGGCAGTCTAGCCCAACCCCCAATGGAGGGCCTCTTTCAAGCCTGGGCAGCTGTGCCACACCCATTGTCAGCACAGCAGTGCCCTATATCTATAGCATCTCCTTTTTTTTCACTAATAATATTGACTAAAATAGTTAAATAGGGGTTTCTTAAGAATGAAAAATTTCAGCTTATTATTTATGTAGTGATCATTCTCTGTCCTTTTCTCTCCCTCCTCCTCACGAATAATAGTTTTTGGTTTTGTGTTGTTTTGATTTTTGAGGTTTCCCCCAGTGAAGCTAACCTCTTCGTTAATATTACCCAATCATGATAGACTAAAACTTTGTTAAAAGAGCATTTGGAGCGAGTGATCTGTAGAGAGGTCGTGCAGTGTCTCCAGTCAGCATGTCAGGAAAATAGACGAATAGGCTTCCCGTTATTAATTAAAGGGCCGTTTTCAAACCAATCATTGGTTCCAAAACAGAACTACATCTTATGTAGACACTAGAGGCACAGCGCATGAAATTGTGCAAGACCCAGACCTGCTGTGCCAGCAGGACCCCAGAATGCCCCGTGCAAACCGTAGGCCCCGCCTCCACCATGCCAGCCCCGCGCGAGCCCCAGCCTGCGAGAGGTGCTCTATGCACCTCCTGGTGAATGGTTGTTGGGTCGTTCCGCCGTTATGGCGTCATGACCACAGGCCTTTTATGATATAGATCTGGGGCAGCTCTTGAAAATCTTGCCTCATCTGCTCATAATCTTAAAGTTGCCTGTTTATTTTAGTGATACATAGAAATAGGAACAAAATATATCTTAATTTAAGAAGACAAAGGTCAGTGGGGGAAAAAAGGAGACATATGTACTACACTTTGTAATACTCTAAGCAATAAAATAAAATTTTTAAAAAACGGATAGGAAATAATCCAAACTTAATAAAAAATTTGGGATCATTTCTTCCTTTTTAAATTAATTCACTATAAATACTCTTTAAATATCCTTAAGTATCTTTTTATTCAAAAACAAATTTTTCTAAATGACTGATACCAACAATTTGCCAAGAATATATGAACAACTCTTTGTATATCTGTTATAATGAAAGTTGTATTGTCTTTAGGATCTTATGAATCCTTCAGTGATCTCCCTGTCACCCACCACTTTCAATGAACTAGTTAAACAAAGAAAACATGATGAAGTCTGGATGGTTGATTTCTATTCTCCATGGTGTCATCCGTGTCAAGTTTTAATGCCAGAATGGAAAAGAATGGCCCGGGTATAGTAAAATCGTTTATTTTAAATGTAAACATTTACTAAGAACGTTTATTTAACAGAATTATTTTGAAACTAGCATGAGTAAACCCACCTCTAGATTATAACTTAACAGTTCTGATCACACCACTTGGATTTCAACTCAGCTTCTATCTGGTATATGAACGGTATAGAATAATTTACCTTTTTTTGTGTTATACTTCATATTGTATTTGACCAAATTTCTGCCAAAGTCAACCCAAAGGTCTCCTTTATTTTTACTTTTAGAGCTCAAATATAGTTTCTTCACAATATTGTAGGACTTAAAAATAGCTTTGATCTATAATACTATTTGGATTTTTTAAATTTCATACAAATAGACATAGTGTTATATAAATTATGAAAGATTGGGGAAAAAAGATTTAAATACCAGAATGGAAAATACAGTAACTACTTTGTTTATTTCTAAGATAAAACATGAACAAACCTGAATTAAAGTGATTTCTGGTATCTTAACATTTGAGATAATACAACTTTGTGCTCTTTTCATTAAAATTTTTAAATTTAACTATGAGTCTATGTGCTGCCCACAGCCCATGTCTCCATTTGAAAAAATAACTCTGAAATTCCATTGCCAAGACCTTTATTCGTTCTTGGTTTCTAATTCTTTGAATTTTAGAAAAAATTTCATTTTCCCACCCTAGCCTGTTTGGCTCCGTGGATAGAGTGTTGGCCTGCAGACTGAAGAGTCGCAGGTTCAATTCCAGTCAAGTGCATGTACTTCAGTTGCCGGCTCCTTCCTGGCCAGGCCTAATCAGGGCATGTACAGGAGGAAACCAATCGATGTGTTTCTCTCACATCAATATTTCTCTCTGATTTTCCCTCTCTGTTCCACTCTCTTTAAAAATCAATGGAAAAACATTCTTGAGTGAGAATTAAAAAAATAAATACATTGTTTTTAGAAAAAAATTATTTTCTCTATATAATAGGTGAATGAAATCAGTTGTTTAATATGCAATAATTGTAGTGAGTTCTTAACCACAAAATTAAATTTTCAGTTTATTACTCTAAATGTTCTATTATATTTAAGCCCTTACTTTTTTATTTGATGAAAATCACTGATAAATAATATAATAATTGTCTCACAGTGATAGTTTCTCTATGCAAATATATATAAAGTAGTTGTGGAGGTAATTTTTTTCTAATCACTTTGATATATTTGTCTCCTCTTTTTTTTTTCTTTTCCAGACATTAACTGGACTAATCAATGTGGGCAGCATAGACTGCCAACAGTATCATTCTTTTTGTGCTGAAGAAAATGTTCGAAGATACCCTGAGATAAGATTTTTCCCCCCAAAATCAAATAAAGCTTATCAATATCAGTAAGTATTGTCTAAAATTTTAAGGCACTTACTATAATCATTTATACAGTTAACATTTAAAAGTTATTCTAACTAAATAAAAGTTAACCCAACAAGTATTTTTT